AAGTGAACCTTTGTATTTAATGTTTCAGGTATTGTACCGGAAGATTGGAGGAAGGCAGATGTTGTTCCTATATTTAAAAAGGGTTCAAAATCCTTGCCTGGAAATTATAGACCTGTGAGCTTAACCTCTGCGACTGGGAAATGATTTGAATGGCTATTAAGGGATAATATTCAGGAATTCATTGGGAAGAACTTTGTTATTAGCAATAATCAGCATGGTTTTATGAAACATAGGTCATGTCAAACTAACCTAATTGCCAGGGCCGGACTGCGGCCGCAGAGGGAGCTCTTTTGGCGGCCACAGGGGGAGCTGGCTGTTTTGTCTCTGCTCACCCTCCCCAGCGCACTGCTTAATGAGACCGGTGTGTGTGTCTGTCTGTGTCATGGTGTGCGTGTCTGTCACTGTGTGTGTGTGTTTCTGTCTGTGTCACGGTGTGTGTGTGTCTGTGTCACGGTCTGTCTGTGTCATGGTGTGTGTCTGTCATGGTATGTTTGTGTGTTTTTACTCACCTTTTTTTTTTTTTTCCACGTCGTGCTGGTCTCCCCTCGACTGGCCCTGCCTCTACGGCTGAGATCATCAAACTTGATGATCTCAGCCAATCCGCACTGACACAGGAACCACCTCTAGTGACCGTCTGAGTGTCTGTCACTAGGAAGCAATGTAAACACTGCCTTTTCTCTAAAAAGTCAGTGATTACATTGAAAAGCCTGCTACATTAAGCTGTGTGTGTGTGTGTGTGTGTGCCTGCTACTGAGTGAGCTTGTTTTTTTTATGTCAATGACCTTGTGTCAGTGAGATTGTCTGTGTCTGCATGTGAATATGTTTACTGTATAATGAAAAATTTTACTCTGAAAGGACCAATATTTTATATTGGAAAAAAAAATAAAAATATATATATATAAAATCATCTAGGGTGGAAAGACATAGCCTTACATATTACATGCGACAATATATATATATTTTTTTCCAGGGCTGCTTTGGAATCCCCAGTCCGGCCCTGCTAATTGCATTCTACGAAGAAGTAAGTAGAAGTATAGATCAGGGTGTTGCAGTGGATGTGATCTACTTGCATTTTGCCAAGGCATTTGATACGGTTCCTCGCAATAGGTTAGTCTTCAAACTAAAATAAATTGGTCTAGATTAATATTCTTGTTCTTGGGTAGAACATTGGCTTAACGATAGTGTACAACGAGTTGTCATTAATGGTAAATTTTGAAGTTGGACAAAAGTGGCAAGGACTGTGGCAACGCTCCATGCTCACGAGAGGAGAACCCAGTGGAGCTGCAGATAAGAGCTCCCCCGGGTTCTCTCTCTCCCTCCCCTGCCAGCCATCCAGAAATATGCCTGTGGGCCGGGGAGGGAGATCAATGATTTCCCCTCCGGTCCGTGAAGGCAAACAGCAGGGCTGGCGCTTGGACAGGGCCGGCAGGGGAGACCCTCGGCCTCACTATTTTCTCATAAGGCTATCCTAGATATAAGATAAGGCCAGGGACTAATGAAAGTATTTAGAAAATTGGGTAGACTAGATGGGCCGAATGTTCTTTATCTGCTGTCACAGTATGTGTTTCTATGTTATTGTGACGGACCGCCTGCCACCCCGACCGGATGCCTCCGTCAATCGATGCTCCTAGTGCTCACCGAGGACTCCAAGCACTCCACCAGACACCATCAGCACTGTAGTCCCCTAGCTGCCGTAGCTTGGTTGGGGGTCTCACCATCCCTTCCCACCCTGGACCAAATTACTGGATCCAGCTCCCAGTGGTAAGGCCTCTCCTTCAAGAGAGTATAGCAGGTATAGCTGTGAAGCTCTTACAAGAGCTAATGGTTGTAGCTTGTATAGCAGGTCCCTACAATCACGAGGCGAGGCTCTATGTTGAGGGTAAAGCAGGACTGAATTTTAATGGTGCCACACTGGCCTTTTATGACAATCCCCATGCAAGGGGTATGCCCACATGGACCTTGTTGGGGACAGGGACACAAACTGACAAACCAATAAGAACAGTGATTAAATGCACAACACTCCTACATACATTACAATAAGCCTTCCCCTTTCCTTAGGAGATAATTGATTCAAGCACTATACTAAACTCAAACACAAAAAACACATATTTTTACAAAACACCCAAAATACCTTAAAACACATAAAATCCCCATAAAAGTTACATCCCCTGATAGCCCTGACCAACATATCCAAAAATCACCCAGATCAGTTCAGAGGTTCAGAAATGTTATGGAAGTCATAGTTTTTACCGACCGCAGGCATGGTCGCATAGCCGAAAATAGTTCCATAGAATCGCAGCTAACTGTCGCGGGAGGACCGACCAGGAACCACAAAGTTTTCATTCCGAAAATAGTTCCAGGGCATTCGCGGCTAAGTCTCCCTGATGGCAGCCACCGTGTGGTCAAATGGCACTTCGAGTGGCTTTGGAAGTTCGAAGTGCCACTTCGAAAGTTTGAATGGTTCCTGTTACCAGTCCCAACACGCACAAATAGTGTTTTCAGATAGGGTTTAACACAGGGGCCATAGTCACAGGGTAAGAGGCTGGCAAATATGCCCCTACAAGGACCCGTGACGAGGTCCAGTTCGTCACAGTCATTATTTTACTATATTTATTTGCCTTGGTCAGATAAACAGTACTCAGGATAATTGCAGCTCACATCATCTCCATCCAGTTACAGACCAGTGGCATGTGGGGTACTGATCCCCTGTTGGGCCTGATTTACAATTTGGATATGTGAGTGTTTTTAAAACTTGGCTTTAATAAAACAGTTTTCTATGTTGAGCACTATGGACTATTCTGTTTAATTTCAGGTATTCTGAGCCACCAAGTGGAATCCTGTGGCACTGCATGCAGTCAAATATCACTATATTTAACAGCATTGCAGTCTCCAGGTGACTGGCAGCACTTCCTGTGTCACTCAATGTATCATCTAACAGGTGTGACAGACAGCTGCTCGCTGAGAGAATTGGGCAGCTTCCTGTCAGACTGGAAGACGAAACAGAAGATTCTCTACTGCAGTCTGCTCAGCCATGCTACACGAAGGCTCAAAGAGGCACACAAATGGAGGTGGGGTGAAAGAGACACATAGAGGGGCTGGGGGAAAATAGACACAGATTGGATGGGTGGGCAAAAGAGACACACAGAGGGGCTGAGGGAACAAAGATACACAGAGAGGAGCTGGAGGACAGAGCAGTTTCAAGTTATATGCTTTTAATTATTATTTTTTTACAGGCCCTAAGTGTAGTTAATTTAGAGAATGTTTCAGGTTCATTTATTTTGCCTTGAATTAGATATTCATTTGTAATTCACTTTAAATGTTCACTTTGGCGAATAACCCTGAAAGTTTCCATTTATTTTACTCCAATGCAGGATACCGTGACTGAACTAGATTGCTAAAGATTTTGGTACCGACAAGCATTTGTCATTTAATTACATGCTGATTCAAAGGAATTGCTAAGGTGTGCTGGTATTAAAGGACCACTCTAGGCACCCAGACCACTTCAGCTTAATGAAGTGGTCTGGGTGCCAGGTCCTTCTAGGGTTAACCCATTTTTTCATAATTATAGCAGTTTCAGAGAAACTGCTATAATTATGAATGGGTTAAGCCTTCCCCCAAAGCCTCTAGTGGCTGTCTCATTGACAGCCACTAGAGGCGCTTGCGTGCTTCTCACTGTGATGTTCACAGTGAGAGCACGCCAGCGTCCATAGGAAAGCATTGTAAATGCTTTCCTATGAGACCGGCTGAATGCGCGCGCAGCTCTTGCCGCGCGTGCGCATTCAGCCGGCGGGGCGTAACGGAGGCGGAGAGGAGGAGGAGAGCTCTCCGCCCAGCGCTGGAAAAAGGTAAGTTTTTACCCCTTTCCCCTTCCAGAGCCGGGCGGGAGGGGGACCCTGAGGGTGGGGGCACCCTCAGGGCACTATAGTGCCAGGAAAACGAGTATGTTTTCCTGGCACTATAGTGGTCCTTTAAGTAATTCACCAAAAAAAGTCACAGGCAGGGTTATTCAATAAACTCACAATAATAACCAATTACACAATCTAGGTTAATATAGCTCAGCTTTAGCAATAGCTGAATAACCAAGCTGTTTGCACAACTTCTGCAATTTGAATTTCAAATAATTACTTTTCTGTCCTGAATGGTTTTTTTACATCAAAAGCATTTCATCATCTCTGATGATAAAGTTGTAATAAACCTACAGCTGACTGAAAACCAGTAGCTTTTATTCGACCGACCCAGACAGAAATGTGATATGTTGTAGAATCCAATAATAGCCTGCGGAAATGCTATAGTCAATATAGTATAATATAATACTGTAAGCTTTTTAATTTTCATTATTCTTATCTATGATACAACAGACCATAATAACTCATTGCTTCGCTGTTATCAGTATCTCTAGAGAGAGTTAAGTCATTTATATATTGCAGTTAACCTATTCATGCCTGTTATACTCTTATGAATAAAAAATGTATCATTAATTATAAGATAGACTTAACACTGTGAAATGATTGGGCAGAATAGAAATATTAGAAAAGACTTCCATCCACATTAATGATTCCCCAACCACCTCTCCCTCATCCCATCTCTTCCCCCCATGACATGCATTAGGTGGTATTACTTAAAAGTCTCCATTTCAAAAGTACCTTATTATATCTGAACTATATAGTTCTCCATTATAACCCTAGGAAGAAGGAAATCACTTAAAATGTCTCAGTCAGAGTTTTATGTTACAAGATGAATATCACTTTGGTAGGAAGAATAAAAGAGCTAACTACTAAATCCACATTCATGAAAGATTCATACCAGACAGGCACCATTTACTTGTGTCTGTCCCTATGGCTGAATTATGGCTTGATAATATCTATTGTTCAATACTTCTGTGCTTACTTATCCTAGGGAACCACTGTTTCCTCCTCCTCAAGAGAAGGATACAGATCCAATACCTAATTTAATTCAAATAATTAGTCATAACTTTAGCCATGGGTCCTAAAAAGTGTTAGCATGTCCCCACTTACCCCATTGCTTTCCCATTCCTCAGTATCAGATTCATCAGTTTCTATTGTTTGGCGTAACTCACGCTGGATGGAAGATAATCATTGTTAAGAAACATATCTCCAAGCTGACTACTAAGGTAAGCGTGTGCCTTAGGAACTCCCATGGGTTTAAACCTCCAGTGAAACATTATTTATGTTACGTGTTTCTTAGCAGCAATTGAGATTCAGTGTAATACCTGTGTCCTCAGGAGCTTATGTCGCCTGCGGTGCATGTGGCATGTATCTAGGTGGTATGACCTTGACACGTTCTGTAGAATTTATGATGAAGACATGTTGTGAGTCTTGGTTTAAATGTGCTTTTTTTTTTTTTTAAATTAATTATTTTTTTTACATCAATCTAAAAAGACAGGTGATGCGATATGTGTCAACAAGACCGGAATTACAAAATATGCATATTCAAAAACATACAAATGCTGTAGTCATGTGTTCAAAACAATTACTCTGGATTACTTTTTTTAAATTAAAAATATAATCTATACTATATTAAGCCAGCCTTAAGGCTTTTAGGCGACCTGTGCGAAAAATGTTCACAGCGCCCCTTCCTGGCCACACCTGCTCATTCCTGTATAATGTGTGTATAAGGGTGGAGTGTTTGTATAGGGGGTTTATTAAATTAATAAATATTAAAGAACAAAAAAAAATATTAATTACTGTCCAAACGCCGGCCCTGCAATGTGCCTTCATGAACCAGAGGGGAGATCAGAGATCTCCCTCCCCTGTCCGCTGGCACCATGCGGGCAGCCGGCAGGGGAGGGAGGGAGGGAGAGAGGACCCGGGGAGATAAACACTAAGGGAGGAACACTAAGGAAATGGGGTGGGGGGACCACTAAGATACAGGAAGGGAGAGGACCACTAAGGGGGACGGGACACTAAGGGGAGATAAACACTAAGGGGGAGGAACACTAAGGGAAATGGGGTGGGGGGACCACTAAGATACAGGAAGGGAGAGGACCACTAAGGGGACACTAAGGGACAAGCAAGTTTGGGGAGAGTAACACTAAGGGACATGGAGGGGAGAGGAACACTAAGGGACATGGAGGGGAGAGTGGCACACATGGGGGCCTGAGTGGGGAGAAAAACACACAGAGGGACACGAGGGGGTAGAAAGACAAACAGATGGGGCTGGGGATGTAAGAGACACACAGAAGCACCTGGTGGTGGAAAAACAAAGGGACTGGCTAATATATAACACAGAGGAGTCTTTATAATGTAGAGGAGTCGGGAAGAGGTTAAAAAAAACAGATGCAGCTGTGACAGTGCCGCTTTAAAATAAAATAAAGGTAACAAAAGTAGTAGCTGTTTTTATGTGCTAAACACAAAATGTCTCATCAGAAATGTGACAGATCAGCTTTAATTTGTGGCAGACAAATAAGAATGCTTTCACAGTTTTTTTGTTTTGTTTATTAAATGACATGATTATGAATACCAAACAGATTCCCCATGCTGCTGCAAATGTAACCAAATATGAATGCATCAATTGACAGAGCAACCTTTGTCTAATATGTGTTACATATGTTTGTGTGTGGTTTTTATTTTGTGTGTATATTTTAGCATAAGGATGAGAGGTTTTAAGTCACCAGGGTCAGGTCACCACTTTCTCATAGAGGCAAAAGCAACCTGCTTATACAAACCTGTATTAGAAATAATACATATCCAAACTGCATGTAACATTGGCAGCTTGCTAACCCTGGCGTTCAGGTATGCTGACGCTGTTTTGACCCCTCCCTATCTGTGGGCGAAAACCCGGAAGTGACTGCAGGTGATCGCCGATTGGAGATCATGTATTGGAAATCATGACAGCTTGTCTGTAATGAGTTTGTGTACGTGTCACTGAGCTTGCCTGTAACGAGCTTGTAAGTGTCAGTGATGTTTTATGTTGTGAGCTTGTATGTGTTTGTATCAGTGATCTTGTCTGTAATGAACTTGTATGTGTTTAACAATGAGTTTGTCTGTGGTAAGCCTGTGTGTCAGGGAGCTTGTGTGTATCAATAGGTTTGCCTGTAGTGAGCTTGTATGTGAGCTTGTCTTTAGTGAGCTTCTGTGTTTGTGTGAGTGAGCTTGTCTGTAATGAGCTTGTGTGTAGTGAGCTTATGTGTGTCAGTGAGCGTGTCTGTAGTGAGCTTGTTTGTATTGTATTATGAGTTTGTCTGTAGTAAGTTTACATGTATGTCAGAGTGCTTGTGTGGTTGGTGAGCTAGTCTGTAGTTATCTTGCATGTGTGTCAGTGGGCTTGTCTGTATTGAGCTTTTGTGTATGTGTCAGTGAGCCCGTGTGAGTTAGAGAGCTTCTGAGTGTTTCAGTACTCAACTTGTGTGTGTTAGGATGCTTGTCTGCAGTAAGTTGGTGTGTGTGCCAGTGAGGTTTTCTGTGAGTATCAGTGAGTTTGTGTGATTTATTCTTTTATATGTATATGTAATGGAAGCCTTCATTCTTTGGCACTTGGATAGAACTGCAGATGAGCCTCCCTCTTACCTACTAGGGTCCTTTGCTTCAAAAGGGGCTCTGTTTTTCGGGAGGCAAGTACACAGTGGCCATCTGGACTACTTCTCTCCCCACTGTTTCGGCTTTACCACATTTCTCCAAGTGCTAAGAGATTATCAGGACTATGGAGCTTCGAAGTTCTGTGTTTTGAAAGAGGATTTTGCAAGACGGTCTTGCACCTGGTTAAATTTATGGGAAAGTTTGTATTATTGTACAGGTTTCCTGGCCGCAGGGAGGATACAGGTTTCGTGGCATGAGTCATTTTTTTGTGTTACACCTCCCTGATGTAAGTAATCAGCTTCTGAAAAACCTGAATGCACTGTTTTATTACCTCAAGCTAGGTGCCAAGAAAAAAAACTAACGTTTTTTTTTTTTGTTTTGTTTTGTTTTTTTAATGTGAACACCTTGTCCTGTGAGACTTTTGTTTGTTTATTTGTTGATGTTATTTTCTCCAGGGACTTGTATGTCCTTATTACAGGACCTGCTTCCTCCCTTACAAAGCAGTTCAAAACCACCACCGGGACCATGTTGGAGACATGACCCGTTTTCCCATTATTCAGTTGGTACAGAGCTCCAGAGAGATAAGAAACGGACTGTAACATATTTATCCTCACCTCATGGTATCTGCAGTAATTGCCTTCCTGACAAATGCAGAAGTGCCGTTTAGCGGCCATGCGTCAATGTGTCTGACTCCTGCAGCATGTTGGTGGACACCTGCCACTGTGGATCCATACCAATTTGTAACCCCACGTCCGCCCATGGTAGTGAGGACTTCAGCGTGTGTGTGACGTCACGTAAATGACGCACACGCACGTTCTGGGGTCAAAAGCCGGGTACGGCCAATCGGATCTGAAGAAGGCTTCAGCGATTGCGGCGGTCCGGGGTTAACTTTAGTAAATGACGGAAGGACAAGGTTGACGGAAAATTTCCATCTTCGGTCGGGAAGGGGTTAATAGAGCTCAAGTCCTGAGAGGCTATTAGCACTTGGGAAACATGGTAACCCGAAAATGGGGGGGGAGGAGTAGTCCAAGTGGCTCCCGTGTACCTGCCTTCCTAAAACCGAACCCCATTCTAGGTCAGGGCAGATAGTCAATGGGAAGGAGGCTGTACATGCCGGGATTGGTTGGGCAGTTACCCTTAAAAGTTTCCTCTGGCTCCTCTATTAGAGGGAGGGAATGGAGCTTTGCCTTGTACCGGTCTCCTTGCTTGCCTACTCTCTGACAGATATCACAAGTCGTACAGTCGTAAATTATCCCACGCTAAGGTTCAAAATATGCCTTTTGAATTGCCCTGGGATGTCTTCTTTAAGAAATGGTATGCCTTTATGGGGTAATTGGATTATATAGCCTGGTAAAATACTCTAAAATGGGACATTGACACAGCGTAAAAATTCAAAGTCTGAAAAAAACTGGAATGGCTGTGTCTCAAATGTGCCCCTTCAATGTCCACATATACCTGGCAAAGGTACATATGGGGGTATCGCTGTACTCAGACGACATAGCTGAGCAACATGTGAAGTATTATACAGTTGTAGCACACATAAGGTTTGCAAAATATACTGTGCAAACTTACTTTGTGTGTCACAAAGGCAGAAAAAATGCTTATTACCACTACACTTGGTACAAGCTAGTGGAAAAATGATCCCACGCTAAGTTTCAAAATATGCCTTTTGAAATACCCTGGGATGTCTTTAAGAAATTGTATGCCTTTTTGGTGTAGTTGTAATATGTAGCCTGCTCAAGTGCTCCAAAGTGGGACATGGACACATCAAAGCCCTGCATGAAAATTCACACTTAAAAAACTGAACTTGTCACATCTCTTTTACAGCTCTGTAACAAAATTGGGCATTTTGTTTTACTCAGAAAATGTAACTGAGCATAATTTGGGGATTTTTTATGACAGTGGTATATATCAACTGTAAGAAATACTCAGCAAAAATGAAACATATATGTAAAAATGAAATTTTTCCCCCCTCACCACAAATATTGACATAAATTAGTGAAAAAATGGTGACAAGTTAAGGCACTATATACACCATATAAAATACCCTGGGGTGTCTGCTTTATCATATGAAAGCCCTTTGTGGGGTTATTTGAACAGTCACACTGCTATAATAACCTAAAATGAGACATAGGCCCTGTAGCGGAACGCCAATATTAAATCCACGAATTCAGCTGGTTCAGGAAGTAATCCACAGTCAAGCACTGGAAAAAGCAAGGCAATATCCCAAATCTCCGAATATGCAGCCTATTTGTACGAATGGCCGTTTGGTAGATAGCTGGGGTCTGAGCGCATTATTCGTGAGATTACCGCTCAGATCCCAGCTAAAACAACTGAACGCCGCACGAAAAACACATTCATTAAAATGTATATTCAAAAGACCGATTGAAGTCTAGTGAACAAAATACCGAACGGCCTGGAAGCTCAGCGGTGTTTGCGCCGTCGAGTAGCCGTTTTTAGTACCATGCACTCGACGACCAAACACCGCTGAGGGAACAAAGGATCCAAGATGGCCGACTGCTGCATGGTCGGTAGTCGAACAGCGGCCACCTAGGAGAGCCTCTAATTACCGATTGCAACATTTTTGCAATCGGTTAACAAGCGCCACACGCCTCTAAGTGTGTGGGCTACTACATGGTGGTTATTTCGGTTCACGAACAGCCCGCAAAAGTGCCGTTCGTGAAACGAAAGAAAATACAGCACATACAGCTATCTGCATTCGGCAGATAGCCAATACAGTAATTACACGTCATTACAGCCAGCATACATTATACATAGTTAAACACATATCCCCACCGACATACAGGCAACCCTTAAAGGTACAGTCTCTTGATATTGTCCAAGTGGCTATGTTTGCCACAGGCCCGTCAAATCCATCTAGGAAAATTCTAACTATAGAAACTGAAATAGCCTTGTGCAGGAATAGCACACTCCAGCTTTACGAAATACACATTACAAAAAACTGTTATATGTGTTTATGCCAAAATAGAGAAAAAACACAATTTTACTCCAATATTTAGCAGAGATTGGCGATGAAATGGTTACGTAAAAAGTGTCAAACTAACCTTAGGTAAATAGCCTGTTATGTCTACTTTATATAAATATATACTTTTGTGTGGCAATTTTGTTTTATGTGGTGGCTACTAAACCTACAAGACAAACATACCAACTTCTAAAATTGTTTCACATTAAAATTTTATCTTGGCCCTTATATTTTGTGACCTGTAACTTTCAAAATAAGCTGAAATCCTATACATATTAGGTATTCTATAAATTAACACACATAAATGAATTTATTTTTAATTACTTTTTCTAAGCTGGACATTTTATGCACATGCTATTATTGCCAAAATTGTGAAAAAAAATATTTTTTGTTTTTTACCCCATTTTGTGGCATTTTATTTTTATAATTAATGAGAATTTATCATCAAATTAAAGCCTTGTTTGCCCTCTAAAAAACAGTATATAATATGTGTTGGTGCAATAAATGACAGGGATGCAAATTGCATTTGAACACAAACAGCAAAAAATGCAAAAATGGCTTGTGTCCTTAAGGTTAAGACAAGCTTTTGAAGCTGTGTCATTAAGGGGTTAAGATATTGGGAGTCTGTGTTTTAAAGACTGTCTTGTTGCCCCTGGTGAAATGTACTCCTACAAAACCTGAGTGTACTTTGTTAGCACCTCCTGCTAGGTGCCAGGAAGGAAACTAATGTACTGTTGTTCTCCTGTATGGGAATTCCTTCTCCTGTAAGTCTTTTGTTTGTTTATTTGTTGATGTAATTTTCTCCTGGCACTTGTACTGGTGTGTACTAATTATCTGGAGAGGAGCTATGGTGTAAATATGTGTGCATGTTCCCTAATAAACTGTGTTGCTGTTTTACCCTCAAGCATTCAATCGTGGCTAATGTCCTTGGGCATAGCTATATCAACTTAAGCGTATCCTCAACTTTGACCTGGAACTAGCGAAAGGTTTAGTGGTCGGTGGTTAGCAGGGAAGCTGACTGAAGCGGTTACATACAGCTGCGACCCGGAGACCCTCTAATACAGTGATGGCGACCCTACGGCACACGTGCCACATGTGGCACGCCGGGCCCTCTCTGTGGGCACGTGGCCATAGGTCGCCGGGGAGAGGGGGCTGCTGATGGCGGGCAGCTGCAATGCAGAGTAGGCACCTGCCTGCCCAAAACGGCAGGCGCCTACTCTGCTTTTGTGTCGGGAGGACTCGGAAGCAGCTCTCCTGTCCACCTGTGAGCAGGCCGTGTGGAGCGTTGCTGTGTTTAACCATGGCAACGCTCCACACAGCATTCTACGCGCGGGAGGACAGGAGAGCTGCAGAACCTGTCCCACATACTTACCACCAGGGCTGGCTGTTTCCCCCCCCTCCTTCACCATGGGGGGGGAATTAAGATTTTATTAATATATTTGCAGCACCCCCTCCCCACACAGCACCCCCGCCACACACAGCAACCCCCACACACAGCAAACCCCCCCCACACACACACACACAGCAACCCCCCACACACAGCACCCCTCTGACACACACACACCCCCTCACACAGCACCCCTCACACACACAGCACTCCCCAGACACATCACCCCTCTCACACACACAGCACCCCCACACACACAGCACCCCCACACACACACACAGCACCCCCCCACACACACAGCACCCCTCCCACACACACACACACACAGCACCCCTCCCACACACACACAGCACCCCTCCCACACACACACAGCACCCCTCAATGCAGTATGGGTGTGTGGGTGTGGGTGTGTATGTATTCAGCAGACTGTGTGTATGTATTCAGCAGTCTGTGTGTATTTTATTCCTGTGAGTTGCGTGTAGGCAGGGCCCCAGTGCACTGCTTTTCCTGGGGGTCCATAATGTTGTTAAGATGGCACTGGTGGGTGGGTGGGATGGAGGGCTGCGAGGGAGCACTGACTTACATGCTGTTCCAGCACTGCTCCCTCCACTGATGCTGCCGGGAGACAGGAAATGACATCAATCAGGCGCCACTGCCTGACTGACCTCATTTCCTGTTTCCCGGCGGCATCAGCTGAGGGAGCAGTGCTGAAACAGCACGTAAGTCAGAGCTCCCTCGTACCCACACTCCCTCACAGCAGCGGGAAGGAATCAAATCCACCAAATAGGGAGCCTGGGTGGACTTCAAACCCCCACCCGCAC